GAGACGGATCAGTAAAAACCAGTCTATCTGATAAAAATATTTAAAATTTTTGTGCGAATATTTGAATTAAAAAAAATCCATTTAGTATAATCAAGATGAAGAAATGTTCTTCATAGAATGTGATGCCGAACCTCCACCAGTTGCACTGATTATTGGTTCTCATGAATATAACATACAATTGGAAAATTATATCGCTGTGGTATGTTAAAAATTGAAGAATTTGATTCTTTTGAAATTCTTTTGAAAACTGAAAATTTTTCCATTTCCTAAGCTTAAGAAATATATTCTTTGTTTATTTTAAATTAGGACAATTAACCCTAAATAAATAGTAGATAGGAATGAAATAACTGCATCAACTTTTATTATCCAATGAATAATTAATAGTTCAGTGATTACAGTTATTGAGTGTAATATCTGTGTTAAACTCTAGCAGGAATAGTTCATGTTTGTTCAGTTTGAAGTTTTGGTTTGAAGTTTACATAGTTTGAAATCTTGCGCAATCATTACAGTACATACATTTCAGTTTGAAAACAACACATGTATTTTTTCATTCTTCCCATTGGAAGGTGACGGTTTTGGACCAACATGGATATTTGGTGCTCCTTTTATCAGGCAATATTGTCAAATTTATGATATTGGTAAGGAACGGATTGGTTTTGCCCTAGCAAAGTAATAAATTGTATTGATTAAAATATCAGCAATTGAAATAAAACATTTTTCTGTTGCACGAAAATTTACTATCAAGTAGATAAAATATTCCGCAAACTACTCTGATATGTTAATCGTAATATGTTCATTTCATTATGCAAGAAAAGGATAATAGAGATAACAGATCAGTCTAATGCTTAATTAATGTGAGCAAACTAGCTGATGGAGATTTGTTAGATTCAAGCTTATCAACCAGCACCTTAACACACTTTACATTCGATCACAATGTTTTTTTCCTTGATCCACTAGTATGCAAATATGTATTCGAAGTATGTGACAAGTATGACAAGTATTGAAACAATGCAAGTATTGAATATTGTCTAACTTACCCTAATTATTTCCGTACTGAATTCCTCATCGATCGTGAAATCCTTCAACAATTTAACAATAATAACATTTTGTAATTATCTTTTTCTTCTAAAAGTCAAAAGCCTTGTCTAAATGGAGCAGTCTTAATGTCCCAAATAAACTCGAAGTTACGCGAGAAAGAAAAACATAAAGAATCATAAGTGAATATGTAGTAATGTACTGTAGTAATGTACTAATTAGTATGTATCATGTTGGATCGTGACAAGATCAAAATCATCCAATTTCTCATCTGTATGAGTAGGGCGCTATCATTGCATAGAATTATATATGTATTATTTGTTTAGCAATGTACCCCAAAGTATTGGGCTCTTTGTACGGCTCCTACACTATGTGCGCTAAGCAAAGCGTTTTACTAATACCAACGCTTCACCACGAGCCAACAAAGGCGCTAATCCGTATAATTTCGTAAAACCATCTCTTGAAGAATGTGCATGTAAACTCTGCAGACATTCATCGTTTCTTTTATTCTCCAGATTGGTATCTTTGGAATAATTTGGAAAATTTAACAACTTAGCCACATATCACCACATACTAAGTTATACTATTCTAGTTTTTCCTTACACAACATATATGAATGTATACGAAAGATATATGTATATATGATCAAGAATATAACAGAAAATGAGAATTAGTAATTTCATCTTCTCATCAGCCCACCGCTTCATTACACTAGTACAAGCCCTGAGATAGCCGGGTCAAAAGGTTAGCTAAAGCCATCCACATCACTGAGTAAGCCGTAACCCTACCGTCAACAATCGGTAGAAAGTAGCAACTCGGGCATTGCTCCAGTACTAATCACTTTGAAAAATGTGATGGATTTGATGTCTCGTGAATTTCAAATTCACTTCTGAATCTAACATGTGTAAGTACCAATTGTTGGGAAAAAATCGAAGTAATATATCGAAATAACTAAAGTATTTTTGTCAATATCTTGCACTAATTAAAGTAAACTAATAAAACGGAAATTAATG